TTAAACTTTTAAATGGCAATGAGCCCTAAACAACACCCTTGTGAGATTCTTTATTTAGCCTTTAATATAATAAAATATAGGCCTAATGTAACCTAAACAATACCTTTGTGAGATGCTTTATTTAGTGTTATAATATAATAAAATATAGGCCTAATGTAACCTAAACAATACCTTTGTGAGATGCTTTATTTAGTGTTATAATATAATAAAATATAGGCCTAATGTAACCTAAACAATACCTTTGTGAGATGCTTTATTTAGGGTTATAATATAATAAAATATGCCCATCAACAGTTATTTCCACCACTTTAATCAAACCACTCTTCTTTAAAACATTACGATGTGATTTTCTCGTTGCCTCTCGTTTTGAGCTATTTTGTCCGTACACAGGACTCACTGCCAAACACACACGCTCACTTCATTCTCTTTCTATGAAGCTGTAAACTGCATTCACCAGTTTTCACTCTACAGAGGTTGACCAGAGCACTGAAATTGCACATGCTCACTTCTTTTATGGCATTGGGTATGTGAACACACAAAACAATTGTGGTCATGATCTGAGCATGCTAAGTGGTCGTAAAAAATATTCACACTTGTGGTCTTTGGTCAAAAATGACCCCCATAAGAAATTGTAAAAAATGAAAAAAAAAAAAAATTGTGAATATTTGTTTTTTTGTCAAATTTTTTAATAAGAAATAATTTTTGAGATTGTTTCAACTATATATACAAATACTGGAACCAGATGGTGCTAATTTTCTTCAATTTTTTTTTTTCTGAAGGCCTAGACTCTATATTAAACTAAAATACTGCGTTAATATTTTTTTGAAAAAAATAATATATATATAAAAAAATATATTTTTCCATGGCAAAAATAAACCATAAATATTGCATAAATATTAATAAATTCATTTAAATTGTCTCAAAATACTAAATTAAAAAGAATAAATATCATAGAACAAAAATAAATTGCATTGGTTTTACTGGGATGGAAAAAGTTTCATTTTTAGGTGTTCGGACACTTTTGACCGGGAAGATAACAAGTGTGACTCCGAAACGAAGAGCACCTGAGGGTTAAACTATAATCAAATGGATTTCCACATGTTTCGTGTCGGCCCTCTGCGTGGCATTTTATTATTTTTTGCACGGGCGCAGCTTAGGGCGAACATCACCCTCGTCCCCACACGAGGAAGGAAGACAACGACAAATAAAATAATGCAACAGTTGAATATGACAATATACAATATCAAGCAAGAAACATATTCAGGCAGGATACATTGTATCACTAAAATTATTCAAAATGAAGTCATAACTGGGAACTTTCTAGAAGCTGTTTAAGGTGTTTTTAAAATGTGCAGTAAGTGGGACATTCCCTAATGTTTGTTGGGATGCTTTTCCAAAAATGACCTCCTCTGACGGACAGAAGAGTTTGTCCAAAGGTAGTTTTTCTATATCAGCTCTGAATGAAGCTCTGGTACAACAACCTTCGTCAGACCTTTGTTTAATCTGTGTAGAAAGTGCAGGTGGAGTCAGTCCATGCAAAACTTTAGAAATTAAACTGTTATTTTTAAAATTAATAAAGTTTTCACAATTTTACAGAAGCCCTGAACCGCAATATAAAAAAAAAATCTAGCATTGTCAGATTAATGTGGAAACGTTTCAAGAATAAAGTCAAAACATTACGATAATACAGTCTTCCATAGAAGTGTGTGCATTCATGACAGTGCGCATCTGTTTGTGTAAGTAAATGCACTTGTCAAGTCGAACTGCCATGGATTAACACAAAATATAACTTTTTACTTTTACACACGTGCAAGTGTTTCTGAGGTGTTTTCGTGCTCGTCTCGTCATTCTGTATCCAATCATTTGGCCGGATCCTGTGATTTACTAAGATTTAATAACCACTAATGGTTGAGGAGAGATTCTCTGATATGATTGTAAAGCGCTTTGAGTGTAGGCCTGGTAGACATATGAAAGCGCTATATAAATGCCTCATTCATTCATTCATTAAATCATTCATAAAGCTGGATTTCTCCATCCAGTCTGAAAAGTGTTTTCCGTGTTGGTTTTCCTATAGGCTAAAGTCTATTCCGGCACAGTATATTTTATAACATCCTATAATGGTAGCCTAATGCTGGTAGATTGGCACCTGTTAAATTTCCTTTGATGAAACAAAACACACACACACACACACACACACACACACACACACTCACTGGCATTTTCCCATTTGGCTTTTCCCGACCGCAGACGAGGGTTTGCAAAGCATTTTTCCCGGTGTTTTTCTGTCAATTTCTTGTATTTCCCCCCTTATGAACAACAACTTTGGCCACACGATAAAAACTCCTTGTGGTTTGATCGATCTGAGCAACCGTAAACGACGCCAAACATAGGCATTTTGAGTGTGTTATAGTGCTTCCTAAATATAGAAAATCACTTCCTGCCCTCCATCTGCGTTTCGCGCCATGGCAACACAGTGGCGTGACGTCACGTGAAAACAAGCTATATACTGTTACACATGTGTGCAGCACACAAAACAGTGTGCAAGTCATCTCGTGCTTGAAGGGTTTAAAGAGCCCCTATCACAGCATTTGAAATGTTCCTATTTTTGTTTTAGGAGTTCCCAAAAACAGTTTAACATGCATCTTGCATGAAAAAACACTTTATTTGTCATATAATATGCATTTATTGTTAGCTGATTTGCTCACAGACTCCCAAATGATTCGTACAACGACTCATTTTTCCAAACCACTCTAGCGTGACACTAATCGGTGGTGATTGGTCAGATGACAGACCCATAAACATATTGATAAAGCACTACAGTACTACAAGACGCTCTATTCTTTGACAACTCCAATAACAGCGACAAACATTTCACATATTTAAAAAAAATTGACATTGGAGACCTAGAAGCTGCGCTGAGCGTAACTTACACACACACACACACACACACACACACACACACACACACACATACTGCCTCGCGCCCTGACGCAACAAAACCGTTCAAAACCCATAAAAGCAAAAATTATTAATAATACTTACAGGTTGTGATTCGGAGGAGGAAGCTGATCCATATACACTGGGTAAGTAAGTTACTGAGCCCTCCTTCAGGAACAACCGCTTGTGAATGCACATTTGAATTCATTTATGTTTTTGAACTAACATTATTTGTCAATAAAATGATGAAAACACAATCGGGCTATAGTGTTGATATGAACTCTAACCACCGATTCTTCACATGCTCGTCCCTGGTAAATGAAAACAAAGTGGCTGAACTATCTCTGCATAGTAGAACACAGCGTCTTCTCGACATGATGCTATGATGAAGTGTTTGAGTGTGTAGACTTCGAGTTTACACTTCCGTCTGCGCGCGCAGTAACTGGGCGTGGCCAGTATGTATCTACGTCACGATGTAACAGCTAATGACTCGTTTCAAAAACAATTCATTTAATAGACTCACTTTTAAAAGACCATAACTTTATATACGGTGCACTTTCAGATTTTCATTCCCTTAGAGCTATATTCCACACCATATGAACAGTCATTTTCAAAAATCCATGATAGGGGCTCTTTAAAGTCATTGAAATGCTCACAAAGGAATCAATTCGTTTTATAACGACTATCTGATTCCTGACCTCAAGATTTTCGATTCCCAACCCTACAGTTGAGTGAGGCATGCGTTAATGATTGTGGTATCCTTACAGGAGTGTTAACCTTCTCTCTGTCTCTGTAGCGGCCATGAACTTCTCCACCTCCAGCAGTGAGAGCAGCTGCGGTACACCAATGACGTACACCAATGACAAGCCTCCGTTCACCAGCCACTTCCGCAAACCCAGAGTTCAGTTTTTAGAGCTGGACAGTGAGTCCGGCGGCTCGTACAGGTACAGGAGGTGTCCTTCCTGCTTCATTGCATCATGTTTGGCGATTTGTTTAGGTTTATATCACGTCATGCTCCTTCTCAAAGGGACTTAACTGGCATTCTTGATCTCCAGCTCTCTGGTACTAGATAAAGGGAGAACGCCACAATTCTTTAAGAGATTCCGGAAAGAATTTGCACATTGGACGGATGTAAAGGAAAAGCTGGAGAAAGAACTGTCTGACCAGATCAAGATCAACTCAGAAAAAGGTTTAATTTGTGCTACCTCGAGAGAATGAACTCTGGTGTGATTTTGTCTGAGTTTCTCTCTCTTTTGCACACAGAGGGTTTGATGGTCCAGCCGTCAGAGGAAAAGACCATGTTCCGCTACTATTGCGAAGCAATCCTGATCCTCGGTCACTTCCAGAGACCAGGAGCGGTGGAGGGAGTAACAGTAAGTGTTAAGACCCCAACATCACGAGCCAGCAGATACGTCGGACCGTGGAGACAGATGTGGCTGCCAACTTTACAGAGCAGCAGAAGGCGTCTGTGGCCCACTACATGGCCAATTCCAATGCAGTGGCAAACCAGCACTATAGGATGAAGACCCTAGATGCTATTGTGGCCACTTCAAACCTGCTCAGCTCCCTGACACGGTATGTAATTATCTGTACTATAATTATGTTATAAATCTGTTATAATTATAATGTCTCTCAACGCTCATCCATCAGTTCGTTAGTGTGTAACCTCCAGACCTTTTCAATATTGCAGCTCCTCTTCTGACGACTCTGGCGATGAGGGCACCCAGGCAGTGAAGAGAAGGCGGGTGGAAGAAGAGGTCCCAGCCCCGGACTTTAATGCTTTCCTGCAGGCCTTCCCTGTGGGAATCACTGGCCAACCACCCAACAAGACCCAGAGAGAAAAAGCTGGGTTCCCCGCCGACAGAGTCTTTTATGATAAGTGGAGGGCTCTGCAGTACAGCCTTCGGGAGCAACATCTTTTGGGTACGTGTATATACTTCCTTATGATCCAATGATTAGATTTGCTCCAACAGAAACATTTTGAACTAGTGTGTGAACCTGAATTTTAATTCAAATGTGTTCTCTTTGACAGCAAAATTCTCAAGACGTGCCCCAATTGCAGCGATGGTGGCCAAAGTCATAGATGCAGAGGGCTGGACGGCCAATCATCCTCGTCCAGAGGACATCATGGCGAAGTGGAGGCCGCTCAGCAGAGCACAGACGGAGAGTGACCCGGGCATCATCAAGGGGGTGACCAGGCAGAAATGGTCGGGTCTGGCTGTGAAGGACTTTGGGGAGCAGAAAGGTATGTACAACTGTCTTATGATCACAGTAAAATCCATAAATAAAATGAATATAATAACATCATGAACAGCACATTAATGACTCCCTCTTTTTGACCACAGGCGTTGTTGCAACCAAGGCCTTCGGGAAGGGCTCCATCCTGTGTGATTTCCACGGAAAGGTGATCACAGGTGCTGAGGGCAGGGAGATGGCAGAGACGCAGGACCAGCTGGGAAACCTGTTTTTCTTCAAACATGGCCCTGACGAAATCTGCATCGATGCGGAGACTTTCCCCTGTGAGTGCCACCCGTCTCTGGAAACCATCGGGAGATGGATTACACATTCAAAGAAGAAGTGCAACGTGCAGCCATGCCACTGCGTAGTGAAGCTTCAGGGGGGAGACAGGCACGTCCTGCTCTTTCAGGCCACCACGGACATTAAGAAAGATGATAAGATCTGCTTCGACCACGGCATCAAGAAGAGGACTTTTCATGGGGAAGAAGAGGAGCTGGAGTGGCTGGACATTTGATTCTTTACAATTTGTGTCACATTTTATGACACAAGACTATGAACTATCAATGTTTTGTTTGTCAACTGTGAGCTCGCGAATGAACTATAGATGTTTGGACAAAATTGGGAGCTTGCGTATGGACTTGATGTTCATGTAAAAGGAGCCTCAATAGCGTCTAAACATTGTAGTTTCATGTAAATGGAGCCTCAGTGTGACCAATGAAATAATTGACCTTGATCTACGTCCTGGAGCTGGAGTGGTTGGATCTCAGACTCTATTTTTTCAGACTGTGATTTTGCCTGACGTCTGCTTGCCTCTCACAGACCATGTGTGACAAATTTAAATGGAGCCTCGTTGTGAACTGACAACCCAGACAGACTGTATTGTAAGTAGAGTAAAGTACTTATTGTAAGTGTATTGTAAATACTTTGTATTGTACATGAATTTATGCTCACTAAAGTTATAAATCAGTCTATAAATGAAAGTACTTTCCCTACAGCTCTGAAAACAGCCATAGTAAAGCCTATACACAAGTCAGGAGATAAGCTCCAGGGGCCTCGTTTATAAACGTTGCGTACGCACAAAAGAAGGCGTACGCCGCTCTCTACGCAATAGTTGGTGTTTATAAAAAGCAAACTTGACGGTAAAATGTGCGGTCCTTCACGCCAGCTCTGACCCAGGCGTACACACAAAAACGGGTGAAATGAGAAATGGCGACACCGTCGGCAGGTGGAAAAACACGTGAAAGTGTGTGAAACTGTAGACGGTTGTGTAAAATAAATGGCAATACTGCCTCTCATAAATAACACGAAGACTTCACAAAGCAAGTCTTACAATTAACAGCCTACACGAACACCCGTTTGATCGATCTGCAACAGAAATGCAAATTAACACATATTTCCAAAAAAGAAAGAAATATGTTCTTCAATAATATTGGCTTATACAATTCATCCTCATAAATAAGATAGTAAACAGAACGAAATAATGTACAAAACTGATATTCTCGCCATTACTAATGCCAAAAAGGCACTTGAGTGGCAAAAGGTAACAGACGCCGTAAATGCTGAGCCTCACAACCTCGGACTGTGGCCGAAATAAAAAAGAAATGGTCGGATTTCAAAGTCGAGGCAAAAAAGCGTCTAGTCATTAATTCAATTAGAGAGGGCCAAGGAGTTGGGCGAAATCAAGACTGTCCAAACTGAAATAAACTGCACAATGAGGGAATTCTTCAATAAATAATATATTTTTCCACAGCTTTTGTTGTGAAGATGATGCTTTGAATCCTTCCATTTAATCGCCACATCTTCTAAGAGCGCAAGATCAGCCATTGTGCGTCATTATACACATTGTGATGGGGCATTTTACTTACATCCATTTAATTCTGCATCTGACAAGCTACGGATGTCGGTTATAATCTAAATGGGATATAGTTCAGCGCAAATGTAATTTCTTGCAGCTTTCTGAATGGTTGAGACACGTTATTTTATCAAAAATAAAACAAACTAAAGGCATATGCATGAATGCCATGATTCCGGAGCTGATGAAGATATTTTTACAATGAAAACAACTTTCCCCAGTGGACAAATAATACACCTATTTATCGATCTATCTAGGCTATATATCTCTCTAATTATCTACCTGACTAACGATTTAATTGCTATATCTGCTCCATTAGACGGACATATTGGATGTCCACACTGTGCCCTCCAAACAACATTTCTCTCCTCTTTTCCACCTCGCCAACGATAACTTCTACTTCACATTGAGTGAAGTTACGTTTTTATTATTTCCTCTCTGTGTTTAACATGATTTCGCAATTGATGAATATTAAAGGGGGGGTTGACTGCGATTTCAGTTTTTTCATGTTAAATAGTGTGTAATGTTGCTGTTGGTGCATGAACAGTATCTGCAAAGTTGCAGCGCTGAAAGTTCAGTGTAAGCAGAGATATCGTCCTTTAAAAATCAGGAAGTATAATTGCCTACAAAAACGACTGGATTGGGACTACAGCTGGGTTATGGTACGTCACTAACCCACACATTTGCATCAACCCTCCCTCCAGAATAAGCAGAAAAGAGCATGGCCATATTTCAGCAGCTCCAGCTCGTCGAGTGAGTTGTTCACGCAGCTGTCAGGTCTTCTGTGTTTCGGCTTCCCACAGACGCTGTACTTCAACAATGGATACAATTTATGTTTGATTATGTTCCTGAAAATGACGATGGTAATCTAGCTCTCTGTGCTGCGCATTTTACGGAAGACAGCTTCCAGAATCTTCACGAGTTCAACACCGGATTCAACAAGAAACTGTTACTAAAACATGAAGCAGTTTCAACTTTAAAACCAGAGGCAGCAGTTGTTGGGCCACAATCTGTAAGTAGGCTAAGACTTCATCATTTTAAATGTATTTGCATGTATAATTCCAGATGTGATGTTTTAGTTTTGTCAAATACCAGCGCTGGCTTTATATCCACTTAGTTATGCTATTTTGCGTCTACGACAAACGCGTAGAAGCATTTTGGACCTGAATTTGTATATGTACTCATTTTATAAATATATTTATCATGTATAATTTATCATCACTTTGTGATGTAAGAACAGGTTTGTATGTGTGGGTGATGAAAGGAGACACAGGGTCGGCGAATACTGGGACTCGTGCACTTTTATTTACACAACTCTTCACAGCGCGAGGTCGCGCTCAAATAAAGTTAACTTAGAATGTCAAAGGCTAAAATAAATAATAGGTGATAATACTCCTCCCACTAAACACAAAACTCTTCCCGCTGAATACAGCTTTCAATTGTCCCGCGTTCGGTAACAGGACTCCATAGGATACGTGCACGAGCGGCCAGTCTCTCTCTCAAACTGTTGTCCGCACGGCCCGCTTATATGCGCTCTCCTCACGCCAATCACTGAAACCACAGACAGGTGTTTGTCATTTGAACTTGACCCACTTATTCACCGCTCGGCTCCGTCCGTCCCAGCTCTCTCACAGTCAGAGCCGGCCCGAGCCTTTTGGGGGCCCTAAGCAGAATTTGATTTGGGGGCACCTCCCACGACGCGGAGTCACCTGTGTTTGACGATTATTGACACAAATGTCACGCAATAATGATACATTATAAATGAACACACTTCGGTTATGTATTAGGCTACAACAAAATTAATACCTACTACCTAAAAAATAGATGCCTACTTAAATAAAAAAAAGTTTAACAGTCTTAAAACTGTCTCAAAACATATAAAATAAATGATTTGCTAAAATTATGACAAAACTGAGAAACATAAGAGCAAGGCTTCAACAAGCCTATTGTTGAAAACTAAAATATTTGGCCTACTATTTCTCCACTGTCTCAATACAGTGTAACTGTCCTCAAAAGCTTTATTATTATCGTAAGAGACTTTGTTAGATATTACATGACATAATCCAACAAAGTCTGTTCCTATAATACCGGTAATAATGTTCTGGCGCTCGTTGTATGTGTGTATGCAATGTATTTTTCCCCTTGGGGCTTGCCGTAGATGGTTCGTGCGCAGACTGCGCACTTGGTAGGCTACTGGAGTGTCGTGGGTTTTTGGAGGTCTGATGTGTGGTATAATAAAGTGGAGAAGAGTTCAAACTGCTATGTTTATTATTTATTCAAACTGCTACCCTTACACCTTGAAGGTTAAGTTCCCCTGCGGGCTGTTTTCTCCAATACCGATACCGTGACTAGGCGCAGTTGCGCACAAATTGTCTATACACGCGCGAGGTGTCTAGAGGATTATGCGCATGACTTAAACGTAGGCAGGTATATTGATCATTTAATCAGAGTTTTGTTGTCTTGAATGATTCATTCAGTCATATTCATTCATTCATTGATTTATGTCACTTGTTTAAGTAATCTAAAAATAAAAATACAAAATAACCCCGAGCGGCCACTTAGTTCGCTTATGCCTCGGGCCAGCTCTTCTCACAGTCCCACTACAGGACCATCTGCATCTGGACCGGAGCGCAGGCACATTTCGCCCGTAAAGGTAATGGGCGTTAACCTTCCGGACAATGTGAGCGACAGTTTAGCCAATCACAACACACCGGCCCAAACTAACCAATCAGAGCCCACTGCCTGTTTCTGGTGTAGTGGTTTTATAGACTCAGGAAGTCAACCGCTCGTTCAGGGGACAGAGGAGCGCGCGGCTGACAATAAAGGTGAAGTTTATGAAAAATAAGACTTTTAAAAAAAGAAAAACCACGAATACATGTTATATTACCCCATAAACACAATCATGCAAAGAAAAAAAGCAGTCTGAACGTATTGTTTTACTGCCTGTCCTGATGAACGTTACTGTGAACTCGTTCATTTTGAGCACGCTCTCTCAGGTTAACTTCGGGGTGCCAGATTTCTATAGAGCCTTCCAGGCGAAAACCCGGTTAAAACTCACCGTAAACAGAGCTTAATATGTAGCGAAAAAACACCCAATCTGGCAACACAAGACACCAGTCTCGCACCGCAGCCGCCGTCGACAAAGGCGTCGTATGATCATTTAAACGGATTTTATAACGAGGTTGGTGATGATGGGAAAAATCTTCCATTTCTGTGCAAACTTTGAACTGAACTAGTTCATTTTAAAATGTGTGAACTGAACTTTGAACTAGTTCATGTAGAAAGTGAACTTCCCCAACACTGGTTGCCACTCCCACGTGACCTGCTGACTAGGTTGTCAACTTTTTCATTGTTGTCATGACAGCGCACCTTCTCGTTCTGTGAACCTCTGGAGTTGTGAGTTTAGACTTTTTTTTGACTTTTTTTTAAACTGTTCCTGTGGTGTTGAGCAACTATAATTCCTGTTAATCCTATAATTTTATAGATTTAAAGTGAATTAATTGTAATGAAAAATAAATACAATTAAATAGCTTAAGTAAATCGTAAGTGGAAGTGCATCTGTCAATTCATTGAATGTTCAAAATATTAATCTTTATTTAGAAAAAAATACACATTGGTTGGCCTATTCATGAGCATATATCAGCAATTAGCCTACACATGTT